GGGGGGGGGGGGGGGGGGTTCAATAATTGCCATTCATGTAACGTTTGTGGATTGAGAGTATTGTGAGCGAGTGATCTCCCTTCGGAGCCCCCTTTCGCCTCTCTCTTTCTCTCCTCTCTATCCTCTCACAGTTTTCATTCTGCTTTTACTCCCCCTGTCTCCACACTCTCGCTCCTGCTCACATAGTAACTCCTCCCCCCCCCACTACCCATTGTCTCTCCATACAGTATTAGGCTGAGGGCATGCCATATACTCGTTCCAGCGAGGGATGCAGCCGAGGGAAAAAGAGGTAAGAGTCAGAATTATAGCATAAGAATGTATCCGGCACTAAATGCACGTCACCGCTACTCTCTGAAGTGTAAAGTGTGCCGGGCAAAATAGCAGTTTTCTTGTAAAGAATGACAGTGGGGCACTGATTTACTGATACTCTGGGGCTTTCATGTGTTGTATGCAGTATTTTAATGTGTTTGGCTCATCTTGTGGAAGGAGGTAAGTTGTGTTTCTAACATAGGAAAAAGAGTACTGCACGGATAAGAAATCAGGTGCCACCCTTTTATCTTTATATTCAAGACTAGTTCTAAATGTCAATTAATCATTTGCTGTGTTGTTATAGCTTTGCATTTAAATCTTATTAAACATTTCTACATTGCTCAAAAGAACAGAGGAATGTTTTTAAAATATAACAAATATCTAAATCCAATAAAAAACATCTGGGCACAGACGATTCCCCGAACTGCCTCCCAGCAGAGAGGGACCATGTACGATGTCTAGGGATTAGAGATAATCCTCCCTGTGGCTGAGATTCACCTTCTTGTCTGGACTGAGTCTGACACAGTGGCTTTACTCATTTATGCTGGGACATGCATGAGAACAGGCTCCCTGGAGCTCAGTGGCAATGGTTTTTTTCTTCGAACCTGGAAAAAGGCTAATCAAGTAAACACTTTCCCTTTATCTGAAGTTAATGTTCTCCGTCAGAGGTCACGTGGATAGCAAATGTGAGACCATTAATCATGAATCTTAATCGTGTGTTAACAACTCAATGTTTTTTCAGGCTGACTAAAGTGTATAAACCACCATTGGCTTGATTTGGTTCTCTTAAGAACAAAGTAAGACGTTTATTGATAAAGTTAGGGCATCCGGCATTCAAATGGAAAAAGACAAATGTAAGGGAAAGCTCAAATATGTGAAACTTTCCCACAAAGTGTTTATATACTCCTTTGCTCTTGAACAGGTGCATACAAGTAAGACTAGAAGTGGTTCTCAGTACTGGACAGTTGCAGTCTAGCACAGGAAGCTTTGTGTGCTTGTTCAGAGAAAAAAAAAGAAGGGAGGCTGTCTCAATGGGGCTTTTGTTGTTTGACTTGGAGACAGCAAAAGCACAAGAAACTCTGACGGACAAATACCTGGCCCCTCTGTGCCTCAAATATCTCAGCGTTGCACTTGATACAATGTCAACAAATGCCTCCTCTGTCCTCTATAGTAGAGTGTTTCCTCTCTCCACAAGGTTTTCTCATGTTTTTATAAAGGCTACTGTTTTCTGAGCAGACATCTGGGTGAGCAGATTTGGCCTGCATAGCTCCAGCACTGAGTCTCTGCTCACTGAGGGGTTGAAAATTGTCCAAAGCAATTTCTACTGTTTAGTGCTCCAAATAGTGGTAAACAGTCTGGTGTTTGAGTCCAATATTAGAACATTGTATTGCCTTCTTAAAAGGTTAAAGAGTCATAGGAATATAATTGAACTTATAATGAAATCAATCAAGCATATTAGTAGGGTTTCTATGCATAAATTATGCGTGCCTAATCAGTATGATGGCTTTGATTACATAGGCGAAAGAGCCACTGCATATAACATTAACTTTATATGTGCACAAAAAACTGCTATCTTTGCCCAGTGGTTGAATCAAAATGCTGATGTAATGATCTTCTTTGTGCTTGTAGAAATGGGCAGAGGGTTTCTGCAGAGTATAGAAATACTTTATGTAATCTGCTCTGAATTCAGAAACAGAATCCTTTTGATTAACATTGCACCTTTTCCCTGTGGACATTGATCTAAAACTGCATTTGTAATCAAAGATTATTCTGTAAATCCCCCAGCGGGATTTAATAGCTGGCAGGGTATTTCTGTAAGATTCAAGGATTGAGTAGGGGTCCATTTATTTGAGTTTGTGCTATAAAAAATACAATTTCTTCCGTCTGAAGACTAACAAGACAGTTTCATTATATTCCCCCAGGCCTCAGATGAATATTTACAGTTCCTTTGGTTAATTATTCATGCCTATGTGAGTTTTAAATTGTGAATGTTTTCTGCAGCTTGGCCCTTTCCTTTCCCCCTCTTTGTGTTATCAAGCTTTCAGCCTTTTTCCAACTGCATCAGGCACTGATTTTGTATTTTTGTCTTCAAATTGAACCACAACTGTGTCTTATGGCTTTCTATTCCTATGTGAGTTTGTTCTAACATTTCATGTAGGGTTCAAAGCCATTGGATACACACTGGATAGTCACCCAAAGAACTGCTCTGAAGATTTTTTTGACAATATCTGAATATAATTCTCCACTATTTGCAAATGTTATTTATCACTGTTCAAACTAGTCAATGAAAAACTGAATCCAAACATAAGAAAACCAATTATCATCACTATGTATCAAAGTGAGCTTCTGTGTCATCTAGACAGGCCAGCTTTTTGTAGCATCTAAAATAGTCAAATAAAACTGTAGCCAAGAGCCTCTAAATAATTAATCTTTCTTTGCATCTCACTTTTGTGGGACAAATACAGATATGTTTGGCTTCTGTGGTTCAATGGCCCTTGGAAGTTCAAAAACCACTTGTTATTTAAGTATTTAAGTGGAATTGCAGGATGTATCAAGAATAAAGAAATGATACCCATTACCCTGTCTGGTTCATTCAACATAGTTACTTTGAGTTAAACAAATATACTGTCTAATAGAGCTTTACAAACCTGAACATACTAAAATAACGTGTCGAGCTGTAGCAATATCACTTACATTTTATTCAAATAAAATAACATTTACGAATTTAAAATCTGTACAACTCTAGTACTATTGGGTTGACTTAGTGCTAGAGCTTACTATTCAATAATTATTATGATTAAAATATGTTTATTTCTCTTCTTTGATGGAAGCCAGAAGTGGAGGAAACAAGACTATACTTTTAAACTGTATCATCATTGGTCCATGGTGTGCACTTTAGCCAGCTGAGCCATCACAGCTCTTGTATAAAGACCTCCAAATGTGGCCTCTAATGGCTCCTACCCCCTCCCTGGCAAGTGGACTTTACAAAAGGATTCCAACAGCATTCAGGCTTCTGACCTCAATAACTGTCGAATGTCTCTTGACTTTAAACTAGGAGGTATTTAAATTAGACTTCTAGTATAATCGTAAACATTTTGTATGCCTTTTAACACAATCAATGAAAGTGTCTTAATGTGAAATGCTTCAATCCAAACTGTCTATCTACTATCTACTGTATATGTTTTTTCCTGCTTTGATATGTTCAAATACATAACAGTAAAACATGTTTACAGACCAACGAAGAAGCATGACAAAATACATAAAACACAGCAGGATATCTTGGCATATTACCACCACCTGTTGATGACTGCTATAGTGTGAAACCACAGACAAGACTTGTTGTACATGTGCATCTCTTTGCACAAGCACAAGTAAAAGGGAACCCACTTATATAAAAACAACTCTATATCACTACTAGGGGTCAACAACTTCACAGGGAACCTTTAACATACCTGCTCTAAATTAAATCATTGAAGCTACAACACTGTGTATCATTATGAAATATGTGGCCCTGCAAAATAGCACGAAAAAGTATCAAATACAATTATTATTTTTCTTATACATCAATAAAAGCACAATTTCAATCCCCTCCTGTCTCTGGAGGCAACTACTGAGAACCAATGTTGTTTTTCTCCTATCACAATGTGTTGATTCTATCTAAAAATGGTACAGATCATGTTGTCAACAGTAAACAGCTCAGCAGGAGATCAAGTCTGCTCAACACAAACACAAATATCACTGCAATGCGATGTAGACACCTGCTGACTTGTCATTTCATATTTCAAGGCAGAAATGAGCGAGATGGAAGAGGCATCTAATTAAATATAGTTTAGTCATTTTGTAGTTTTAGCAAGAGACAAACAAAACAATCTATCTATTTCTCAGGGGATACATTTAACTTCATCTGGTTATGTTTTGACTTGCATAAAGTGGTTTTCAAGAAACATAATCCTGGGAGAACATCTTATGTTTTTTTTAATTTTTATTATTTCTATTTGTTTTGTGTTTTTTTGCATCACCTGAAGCAAAACAAGAAGGGACAATTTGCTTTAAAAGCCTACCCATTGTTTAATATTATTTGTAGCACCAACTGTTTTCCCAAAAATCAAGAACCTGTTTAATGAAGCAGGATAACTGCCAGTGAATCAGCTCTACTTCAGTACCAGATGTTAGGGGGTATCGGTTGTTAGGTTTTACTCTGCATGGTTGTTCAAACAGGTTATATAATCATGTTTTTGTATATAGACATCTGGCATTGCTTGCATGACTCAGGTTTTCATTCAAAAATACCAGGGGATTTCACTTATTTCATAATGATAAGATCTCTCAAAGCACCAGAAGCCTGTTCCAAGACTCAAGTTCACTGAGTTGTATTTTGACCACTGATATTTTGATTTCTACAGCAAGTTTTTCAGATAATCCTGCGGAACAGATGCCTGCTGTAGTTGTTTGGTTGGGGGGGGGGAAGCATTTTGGCACGCCCTCCTTTACAGACAATAACCTGAACAAGTGTCTTGTTTTTGTATCTGTTAACAGATGTTAGGAAAGGAAGTACTCACCACTTCTACATGTTCTAGTGGATGCATCCCTCCAGTAAAGATGCAGCAGAAGCAACATGCACCAGAGAGACACCGAAAGCGACGAAAGCCCAGATCAAATCTAGAGATTAAAGGTACATCATTAATGAAATGGCATTGGTGTGGCTGGAGTTACTTCCACTGTAAAATCATTCTTTAACTACTTTGAAAGTGTGTGGTTTCAAAAAGGCGTTTTCTTTCCCTAAATACATGTTGTCATAGGATTCATTGAATAGAAAAGGCAAACATTGAATAGACCCATGTGTAAATAATACAAATATTTGTTAATGAATTAGACACTTGAATATACTAGGTAATACAATTGGGACATTTAGTGTTCGGATTGAATGGTAAACTGGTAAGGATCAGGTTTTTGGAGTATTTTATGTTTGAGAATGTAAGCAACTTATTAAAAGTATGAAACTCACGTCCATGTACACATGTTCTTTGATGTTCCTACTTTAAAGTCTGATAGCATAATTTAAAAATAGAAACAGGAGTACATTTTTTAATTGACAGCCCCAAACTTCCAAACTGGATGCAGTTTGCAAGCTAGCTAATGTCACTAATACTACCAGCTTAAATAACAACTCAAAAAAGAATGAAAAAAAAAAACTCACCAAAGCCAACATGCCTAATCAGTTTTATAGTATATTTTAAAGTGTATCTTCATGCAATAAGAAGCTCCTACTTTGAATTAAAATGTAAAATAATTCAAAGCTAGTTAGCTAAAAACATTAGCATGTAGCATGTAACATGTTAGCTTGCCATGCTTGTTTACTCCATCAGTAAAGGAATGTAGAGCTAACGTTAGCTACTAGCTGTCAATCAAATAGTCACTTGCGGCTGTTCTCAGATCAGTCAGTGTGATTCCCAGACCACAGCAGAGGCTTTCCCCGAGCAGCTAATTCATCTGACTTAAAGGAGGTTTTTATACAAGTATAAAGAACAGCTAAGTATCACAGTTTTATATTTTCCGCTTCGACTCGTCGTTGTGACATGTCTCTGTTTATGGAGGACCCAGCTCACTTCTCTAAATCCAGACTGAAGTCAGAACTCGTTGCCCACAATGTCGTGTTGCCACCCGTCAAGAGCAGAAAGGAGATTTATGTGGACTTGCACTTAAAACACATCGCTCAGAAAAACGCAGGGGATTTTTCTAGCGACGATGAGGATCAAGAAAATGATTTGGCAGTGAGTTTATTAAAACCTTTCATGTTTTGCGTCAGCATATTCGTAAAAAAAAAAGAAAATCGCCAAATTTGTTTGCAAATTACGTCCTGCATTTTGGATTTAACATGATGAAAGTACTACATTTCATTTGTCAATTTGTGGGACCAGCAGAGGTGGAAGAAGTACTCAGATTATTTACCTAAGTAAAAGTAGCGATCAAACTGTACAAATATTCAGTTACAAGTAAAAGTCCTGCAATTAAGCAAATGTATTAGCATCAAAATATGCTTTGAGCACCACAAGTAAAAGTAGAAAGGCACATTAAAAAAAAAAGATATATAAAAAAAAGTATTAAAATGATTCATCACTTCTTGAACAGGTGGGGTTTATTTGAATTACTTTGTACACTACTGGTTAGCTTAGCCTATCATAATGTATGATAATGTATGTGTTGATTTAATTTTTCTATTAATAACCTAAATCTGCAAAGTTAATAGTAATATGTGAAATTAATAGTTGAGTAAAAAGTACAACATTTGCCAACACAATGTTGTGGAGTAAAAGTATAAAGTAGTATAATGTGAAAATACTCAAGTAAGGTTCAAGTACCTACATTGTATAGTTAATTACAGTACTTGAGTACATGTACTTAGTTACATTACACAGCTGGAGTCCAGTGTAGTAACAGAATATCGTTGTCCTAAGTCCGAGAAGCTTTCCCCAGAAAAGTGCTTTGGTGCATCATAATAAATAGCCAATGTTGCACTATATTTGTCAACAATGCTGCATTCAGTGACACCATCAACTTTACTTGATTATGAGGAGATTTTCACGTTCATAGCAATCATTTGTGTGAACTGAAGTAAACCAATGGTCAGCAGGTGTAAGGGGGGGAGGGGAAGATCTGGGTCACTGCTACCAAACACTCCTCTCAGCTTGCTGTAGCATTTTAGGTCGTTGACCACTGAGCCCCCAGCTGTATAGTTGGTATAGATTTACACGAGACGTTTGAGACGTTGGCTTCTTTCAACAGAGTCGTGTGCATGTGCTCACTACACCTGTCGCACTCAATTATGTGTGCCAAGGAGAGCACATGCACTTGAAGCCTGGAAGTTGTTTCTGCTCTGTATTGTGGGGCAGAGGAACTTTCTGTTTGGGCATACTAAGTTAAGTTTATTTAACAATATCCCCTTTTATAAGATATTGTAAAGTCATAGTAGAGTTCTACATTTAAACCCCCCCATACACTTGTAAACCGATGCTGATATTTCCACCTGAACTGAGTCAATTAATCGATTAGCCAATAAAGTAAATTGGCAACTACTTTCATATCCAATAAGTAGTTTAACTCATTATTCTCATTATTGAAAGTAAATATGAGTATCTTTGCGGTTTTTGCTGCCAATGTTGAACAGGCAAAAAAAGCAATTTGATGATGTCAGCCTGTGCTCTGTGAAACTTGGATGGGCATTCTTCAATAATGAATAGTGACATTACAGAGACCAAACTATATTCAATTAAAAATATTGGCAGATGAATCGATAATAACAATAATGATAACTTGAAGCACTGCTGATTCAAACCTTGTCATGGGGAACTGTGACGAAGAGAGTGCTTTACAGCCAATCATTGCAGTTATCATAGTTATGTGATAAGCCACTATCTAATAATAATAATACAGGCCCTCTCAGATACCGCGGCGTGGCCTCTAGCACTTTTACAATAGTGTTCACTATTTAAACATGTTCTGTTTTAAATAGGTATATTCTCTAAGCTACAGGTCGTACAGGACCTAAATTCGATGAATCTTGAACAGTTTTGTGAACTGGATGCTCGACATCCGACACCTGGAAACTGCTGGCATTTAAGCTGCAGCCTTTGTCCCGTCTCAAACAGCATTCAGGTAATTCGGTAAAATGTGTTTTGTTAGGCCAAAGAGGAGGATGCAGAGATTCTGGTCCAGAGTTGCTTAACTGATGATGACCTCAAGGCTGTACTGCTTAAACATGGGGTTAAAGCTGGGCCCATAGTCGGTGAGTTTGCACTGTTGTGAACATTTTATTTATTATTCACTCGGTCTGTCTGTCTGTCCCTGACTTAAAAAAAAACCTAATTGTTATAATATTGTTTGTCTATACTAGCCTCCACTAGAGCCTTGTATGAGAATAAGCTCCGGAGACTGCAACAGTCTGAAGGACAAGGCCATGTAAACGGAGTAGAGAAAGGTGTATTGTACTCTGACAGTGAAGAGGAGGAGGAACAAGGAGAACAAGAGGATGGAGAGTCAGGTATGACTATAAATGTTGTACATTTTTGACTGGATTTGTACGTTTGGTATCATTTAATCATATGCTTTCTATTATTTGTCTGTGGCATACACAGGTTCAGAAGGAGCAAAAGAAGAAATCGATGAACTGTCAAACCAAGCACAACAAGGGAGTAGCCAGGTGAGAACAAATGTAGGAAGGTTACTTCTATAGGTTTAATGATTTAGAGTTCCTCTGTTAGGGTATAGTAGTTTTTTTTATTTTCTGAAATCTTGTAGCTGAGACTACCTTTAATACTTTCCCTACAGTGCCCCTTAGTGGTTATGGATTGTAACTGTAAACTTGTTATTTGGAATGAGCATTCACATTTTGAGTGTCGGTGTTGTGTTTTCAGAATGGTGATTTTGTTTACCCGCAGTGCTTTTTACTCTCATCAAGGATGGTAAATACTACAGATGTTCACACTGTTGCACATCATTCTGTAAAACTGAATTCTCCAGATACACTGATGTGTTTTGTGTGTCGGGTTGACCCTTTGTAGCGGGCTCATGCTACTAGAAAATGGGAACCTATTCCCAAGAGGAATTCGCGGAATGGGATCAAATCATCCCAGCAGATTCCCGTAGGAATTACTAAAGCATCCTCTGTAGATCAACGCTCGGGATTAGGATCAGGGGTAGGCTGGTCTTGTTTCAACTCTTTTGTGGATTTAAAATTCTCTGCATTCCTTGCTGAGACTGTAACTTTATTGTGTCCTCAAGCCACCAATGGGATATGTTTTTGGTTTACAATGAAGAGCTTCTCACCGGTGTATAGATTGTGTTATGAAAGATACCTCTTTTAGTTTTTTTTTTACATTTTATAACATTATTGTAATATCCTTGCAGTTTCCATCTGGAACACATTCAGCCGTGTCCAATGGTGGCTCATCAATCTCCCCTCAGCAGTCCTTCAGCATCACTGAAATGGTTCAAGAGGAAAGTTAATGTTTTAAACACATAATTTTTTCGTTGTGAGTAATCACTGCCAGAGAGCTCATTGAGTCATGTACTCTTACTCTAAAAAAACAGATGGAGAAGCGGAAGTCACTCTTTTCTTGCCCAAACACTGAGAGAGAGTTGAATGGGAGCAATGTGCAGGAACATTGGTCGCGGTTCAACAGGGTCAGTAGTGTTCACATTGTTCAGTCACACTTTAAGCTCAACTGTTAGTGGAGGTTAAGGTTGTTGGGAGAGGTTCCAGGAATTTCAGACGACTAAATCATAACCTGTTGCGTCTCATTCCTTTAGCCGGACACTCCCATCGTGGACACCATGAAGAACCAGTCTCCATACTACACTCCAAAGGAATCCCCTTATAAAATGAAGGCACATATGATATCAGTGTTTCCCACAGATATGAAATATACTTGGGCGGGGTGGTGGCAGCGGGCAGGGGGGGTGGGGGGTGCGCGAAAAAAAAGAAAGAAGAAGGTTTTAACAACATGTTTATTTATTGACTTTTCATTCCGCTATAATCATTTTGCGCAAAGATGGCGCTGTTTGTCAGAGCACTTCATCCTTCTGGGATTTCATGTGTGTATGGGAACGCCTCTGGTGCTGGTCCATTAACTGCCAGTGTTTCCCACTGATCTGAAATATACTTTGGGGGGTGGTGGTAGCGGGGGGGGGGGTTGAGGTGACGTGCAACAACATTTACATTAACCTTTCTGTTGGTCGCTTGTTAGCAGACCCTTCACGCGATGGCCGAGCCAACAGGTACAGGCAGGGCCCATAATGATAGCCCTATAGTTTAAATCTACTACCCACACATGAACATATGGAAATGGGTTACTATTTTAAAAAATAAATGTATTTAGGAACCTATCCATGTGATTTTTAGTGGGGGTCGACCTCAAATCCTCTAGGGGGGTCCAGGGGCATGCCTCCCCGGTAAGATTTTATTTTGGAGTTAAATGCATCAATCTGGTGCATTTTGAGGGGAAAATAAAGAGACTAGATCTATGGAAACACCTATATTAAACAGAACTGTATACATTTCAATAATCATAAAATCAAGGCCATAACCAATAACATACCTTTTCCAATATGAAAAAAACACTGAAACTTGTTTATTTATTTGTGGTTCATTTATAGTTGTGAGTGTGTCTGTGCTCCTGAATCAGCCTCTCCTGTCTCCATCCTCTCCCCCTGCTCCTCTTTGAGGCAGCAGCAAAGACTAGTTTTCTCTCAACAAGTTTTAAAAGTGTATCTTACCTTTTTTCACCTAGTTAACTTTTTATTTATTTATTCATGCATATTTTACTAATCACATTACATTTCATTTAGCTGACGCTTTTATCCAAAGCGACTTATAATGACCGATTACAGGGACATTCTCCCTGGAGTAACTAAGGGCTAAGTGCCTTACTCAAGGGCACACTAGTGGTGGTGTTCCTGGCGGGATTTGAACTCACAGCCTTCCGATCTTCAGCCCACCTCACTATCCATTAGACCAATCACTACCCTCTCAAATGGAAATATGTGTTTACATAAATGGTGACCACACCGTTTGAGACCCACTGAGAACTTAGACTAAGTTAACTATCTAAACACTCAGAGAGTGCTTTACCTCACCTGAGCTGAGGTTATCCCGAGCTTGAATGACACACAGAGACCAATCAAGGGCTTTGATTTATGATCTGTATGACAGTGGCCATGTCGGCAGGCCACATCATGTGGACAGCCAGTCACCCTGTGTGAGGCAGGCCACTTAACAGGCCAGAGGAGGCGAGATCAGAGCGAGGGATCATTGTCTACAAGTTAATCGATCGCAGATGGCGTGGACGAATAAAAAAAATATATATAAAAAGAAACTAAATGGGTCGCGAAATATACTTGGGCGGCCGTTAATATACCTGGGCGGCCCGCCCAAGTATAGTCTATGTGTGGGAAACCCTGGATATATTTTACTGTTATTCTATTTCACTTGATTGTGGTGTATGTGTTGTCTACAAGAACACACTTTGCTTGTTGTAACTCCTTTTATACGTCAGTGTTTCTTCAACTAGAAAATGACACACTAAACGTAATACTTTACGTTCGGATCTCTTCTGATTACATTAACAATCACCTTTTTCCTTTACTTCCACCTGGCTTGCTGGGCCTCTGTCTCTGTGGGACTCTGCTGTCTGGGACACATTTATCTTTTTCTCTGCTCCACTTTCACACTGAATTCTGCTCTGTTTTTTTCCAGCCGTCTCAAGAGCCTGTGAAAGATACAATAAAGGAGATGTTTTTAAACATGGAAGCCTCACCCACAGGGATCTGGTAAGCACCAAAACAACAGAAACGGTTGGATTTGCATTTATCACAGTCCCTATCAAATGTAACATGATATAGAACCACTTGTTTTGCAATCTTAACCACTGTCTTGCACAATTTTGCATGTAAACTATTAAATAAAAAAACATACTGTATTTTTTAGTATCTATATAGGATCACAAAATAATAATATTGCAATACTCAAGTGTATAGATAGTCCCTTACACTCTTCAATAGCACATAACTCTCTGTTGTATTACAGTGCCACTCGTCGGAGGCCTATTAAAGGTGCAGCAGGGAGACCTGTCCAGTACATTTACCCAGACAGTCCCACCACCATCGAGAGACGAGAGGTGGAGCGCCGCCTCGTGCCCATCCACATACAGATTTTGGTTTTCTTCATTGTGGCTTGCCTACTTTATATAATTTATGTTTGTGTTGAGGAAAACTCATTTAATCCATTTGTTGCCTTACTGGACAGTCCAGGCCAGGGTTCAGAAAGTGAGGAAGGGCTTGTGCTTCAGGCTGAGACACAGGTCACACCAGTTATCTCTCGACAGGAGTAACTTAAAGCTTTCCTTAATCCTGTACATCGACATACAGATGTGAGGCTGTGGGGGGTATTCAAACCAGGTTGATCAGGTTCTATGATCTCTTCAGGGAGCACATTGCTTTACTATTGACTGTGTGTCTGTATGGGAGCAAACCTCAAAGTCCAGCTTCAGAGTTTTATATATTTTGCTCATAGATACCAAAGCGCTCTCTGTCAGTGTAGTTGGGAAAATAAACACTATGTTCAGCAGAGACTTTAAAATATGTTCTTTAAGTTATAAATAATAAAGTATAATGCTAAAATTATTTTCTATTTCCTAACCCAAATTGTGTAGTTTTCAATCAGTTAGTGTCACTGTACTTGTATGTATTTTTTTAAACATTTCAACCATGTTTCAATAAAGGATGTTTTGCTTCATACTTTTTGGTGTAAATGATTCCTAGCAAAGTAAAAAAAGATGACGTGCAAAATCAGCAGGGATCTTTAGGCTTCATGTTAAAATCCACTTCTGATGAAGACTATTATAAGTGTAAGTCATATTGTCGCCAGCAGGTGGCTCTCATTCAATAAACCTGAACTAACTAATTCAGTTTCAGTCTGCATGCAAAGAGTCGCAGTGAACGATTTCCGCCGTCATAACAGACAAGTGAGACAACATGACAGAATCGGGGCAAAAGTTAAAAATATTCAAGTTTTTAAAGATCGTTATTAGTAGTTTCCTCATAGCTGCACTGCTGTTATTTACTATAGCATCTATCAGGACTCTTTCACTGGACGTTAATGTCGGACTTCAACTCGCACGATGGGAAAAGACGAATAACCTCTCGCTTGTCATAGACCACCACCAGAGAGAGGAGCTTCTTGCTAATTTTAAAGGTAATATCCCCTTGCTAAAGTCGGTGAATTATGTATTATATTTGCCCTGTGTGGACAGCGCTGGAGGAAATGTGGAGCAGACACCTGGGATGAACGTTAACTAGCGTTTTTATCCATGTTAATTGATCCAGAGGCTATCCAGATCCGCACGGTGTCTTTCTCAGAGAAGAAGAGCAACACCACGGCGCTGCTTCAGTTTGACAGGCTCCTCCGAAAAGGTAAACGTGACGTCATCAACGTTAAAGCTCTAAACCGTGTTTTTTGTATTGCTAATGCTAAGACTGCAAACCATCTGTTCAATCATTATAGCTAACAACTTGAGCTAACGTTAGCAAAACGTTAACTAAACCTCATGACTGATGATTGTTTACAGCACACATTAGAATCCAATTCAGGCCGAGGTTTACAAAGTGCATCACTCTACAGGTGCTAGCAGGCTACTGAGATACATTTATAGCTTAACTTAAACAGCCTTTCATTTTCGTACGGGGTTCTTATTAAACAGTAAATATCCCTGTCTTATCGCATCCTACCTACAGTCCTGCTAATTTATTCATAATTATATAATTCAGTTTATAAAACAATATTGATTATAAAAAGCTTGCACATTACTATTTTTGGTGAGTGAATAATTTACTAATTAACAATTATCCAAATGTTATATTGTGCAAAAAGTCAACACATGTCTAAAAGGGGTTTGTGAATATTTAAAGAGGACATTTAGTTTTGTTTCCTTTTTAATGTCAAGATATCACAACTTTTATTCCATAATATAGGAAAAGCGCTTAAGATGCTGGATCCTACATTTACAATGATCAAACTAAAAGCATATTTTTTTAAAGATCCATTTTATAACCTTCATTCTAAACAGGCTTTATATAATCCTTAGCGTTTTTAGCAGACTCTAGAGCTCAACTAGATTATATAACAATTTTAATAAACTGAATATTAATCCAACCTTACATTTTAAACCAGATGGAGTTTCCTCTTTAAACTTGGACTATTCTGTGTCAGTTTTCCCAACAGTTTTCTCTTCAAGCTTGGTTCACCATGAATTGGTGGCCAACTACAGCCACCTGTTTTGGGTGCAAGGATCACAGCATGACCTGGTGCCATACCTGCTGCTCGCTCACATCGATGTAGTACCTGCCTCAGAAGCAGATGGCTGGGAGGCGCCACCATTTTCTGCCCAGGAAATAGATGGCTTCATCTATGGAAGAGGGACCATAGACGACAAGAGCCCTGTAATGGTGAGACAACAAAGGTTATTTTGTGCTGTTATAGTTGAATTATATACTGATGTACTTCTGATGTTCCAGGGAGACTAAACCAATATGCTTTATTTATTCCAGGGTATACTCCAGGCACTAGAGTACTTGCTGAAAAAAGGCTATGCTCCACGCAGAGGATTTTACATTGGTCTTGGTCATGATGAAGAAGTACTTTAAATATTCATTAAACACTACTTGTGATCCTTAATAACCCCCTTTATTACATCTAAATGTTTGTATCCTTTAATATTTATTTGAACAGGTCAGTGGTTTCAAGGGGGCGTTGAACATAGTGCGTATAATGAAGCAGCGTGGTGTGCAGCTTTCGTTTGTCCTGGACGAGGGCCTGGCTGTACTTGACGGAGTCATCAGTGGTCTTCAAGGACCTGCTGCGCTGTGAGAACCTGTCATGCTCTAGTGTAAACATGATATTTAGTGTGCAGCGTTTCAATGTTAAAAGGAAACTATTTGGCAGACATCACAACAAACTCAAAAGCTTATAGCATAAAATTGCATGACTCCAGTAAATTGTTGGATAGGTCGTTTGATTGACATTTGTACATTCTGTGTTTGATGTGTGTGTATTTGTTTTGTAGAATTGGAATCAGTGAAAAAGGTTCAGCGACTGTAAAGCTTAGTGTGTCTATGGTCCCTGGTCACTCCTCAATGCCTCCTCCTGAGACCACTATTGGGATCTTGGCTGCAGCAGTCAAAAGGTGAAGGGAATGTTTCCTTAAAATGTACATTTTTAGCTCATTTTATGTCCTTAAAATGAATTCAAATTAGTCGTTGTGTTCATGCAGGACCATACTACATCCCACTATTATCAGTCCTTGAATAAAGAAACACAATCTTAAACTCTAATACTCTTTTCTCAGACTAGAGGACAACCCTATGCCTCGATTATTTGGTCATGGGCCTGAACGCGAAACATTTGAGCACCTGGCGCAAAAGGTAAATGTTGTTGTTGTTGTTGTAAATGTCATTTTTTTGTTTTGATTTCTCTTACATGACTATGCACTGCAACATTTGTTTTGTAATGATTTATTTTACTTGTTCGAAATAAATGTATCGATCAATCAATCAAACCAACTTGGTCCACTACTTATCATTACATATAGTACATTAGCTCTCCTTATGTTGTTAATCCGTTTCTCAATCTTGTCTTTAGTTCGGGCTCCCAATGAAGTTCATAATGTCAAATTTGTGGCTGTTCGCCCCACTTCTTGGCAGGTAATCGCATCATTAAATGTACTCCGCATGTCTCCTTATGATTTTGATCATTGAGATGAATCATTTAGCATGTTTGATGTTACAGGATACTTGAAAGAAAACCAGACACTAATGCTTTTGTAAGGACAACCACAGCAGTCACCATGTTTAATGCTGGAGTTAAGGTACACTTTTTAATGATCAAATAGAGGGTCATTTACTGGATATTCAATTGTACATCTGCATTTGTCCAAACCCTGAATTCTCTTCCACTATGTAGGTGAATATCATCCCTTCCCTCGCTGAAGCGTATGTAAATCTACGAATCCACTCAGCACAATCATTAAAAGAGGTAGAGTCAGACATTTGATTTTCCTCTTTAAGAATTCCTGATGTCTCTTCATAAATACGTTGAGCTAAATGAGATGTTTGCTGTCTAGGTCCTGGACCTTATCCAGTCTACAGTGGGGGACCAACGAGTGAAGATAGAGCTTGTTGATGGGTTTGACCCTCTGCCTGTGAGCTCTGCAGATGAAAAGTCCTTTGGCTTCCAGATCATTAAGAAGACAGTGCTGGACATGTTTCCAACAGTTACAGTTGCTCCAGGTAAAATAATCCAGCAAAATCTAATTGTATATAAAAGTTTTTGCTAAAATATTCCATAAATGTTTGGATATAATATGTTATGTGCAGGTATCTGTATTGGGAACACAGACAGTCGACACTTCAAAGACCTGACAAATGACATTTATCGCTTCGCCCCCATCTGGTTTAAACCAGGTGACGCTCAGAGGTAAGGATCTAGTTTATCCAACACTGAATTGAAATAGTCTTGAAAAAGCCTGCTTCAGTTATCACTATAAGTTGCTTGAACAGAGTTGTACTTGGCAAACTATTAGACAACTTGAACAAAAGAGCTTTCTGCTGTTGGTCACATGTTCATGTTGCAACCTTATGATGTAATGTTGTGACCTAATTTTTACGGTTCAGACTTAATCTCCCTCTTGAACAAATATATTTCAAACCGGAGAGACGTGATGTAAGAATTACATATTTATTGTTTACACGTCATATGAATGAAATGATTGCCATGATAATACAACAGGAGAATGTAATGGTGTTTGGCGATTAGGCCCCGGTTTGCAGGATAATCATTCAGGAGGGAAAGAACCGCTGAACCGATGAAATCCCCGGGGTCTAGACACTGGTGGTGGTGATGAGTAGGTGAGACCGGTCTGAAGGAGGAAGATTTAGCTTTGTCCTGAAGGAGACAGGAGGCGAGAGGGGTGGAGGCGGGTTGCGTGTGATCATCTGCAATGACAACTGACAGGGAGGAAGAGCAGGCATTTAAGGAATTTAGCATGTGCAGCGATTGGCTGCTGAGGGGTGACGCCCTCGTATTTAATGAGGGGGGAAGGGAGCCATAGAGTGACGTGTGAGTGACTCGTGTTAGGTCTTCCTTATTGAACTTGCGCTAAAGCTTTCATAAGAATTGTATGCACAGAACCAACCTTTAGCCTAGTTTACACATCAGCTGTGGTAATACAAAAAAAATCCTGCAAGAACAGCATGAGGAAATCTAACAAAGAAAACGTATTTGCTTCTTTTTAGTTACCATACATTTTGTTATTTTCCTTTAGATTCCATGGCATCAACGAACGGATTTCCAAAAAGAACTACGAGGAGCTTGTAGTATTTTACTTTAGTCTGATTCAAAACTGTGATATTCAGAAGCTCCCCGAACCTCACAGCTCTGTCCATGAGCTCTAAGGAATATACTCTAAAGACTATGGGTAACAATCAAACAAATGCAATTTAAAAGCCTGTGATATTTTTATTTATAATTTCAATAGCACCCAATGTAGTCAATTAATTTTCTAAATATAATGTGAATCTGCATTTTAGACCATAAGAATGTTCCATTATCCTGTAATCAGATTAACAGTTAACAACAAACCTTAACCATAGCCCTTTAATCTTGTTTGATGACCTACAGTGTTGACCTTGTTGTGATGAAATTATAACCATGAGGAGCTCTTTAGCATTTGTAATTAGGATTT